GTTCTTTCTCTGGATGTGGACAGCATTTTCCATCGTGAGTCTTTTGGTGTTGTCTTAGATCCCTGCATTGCTGAGAAGAGCTAAGTCTGTCAAAGTCAGTCATCACACAATGTGACTGTTACTGTGTACAATGTTCTCCTGGTTCTGCTCATTTCACCCAGCATCAGTTAAGACACTCTTTAAAGAAGCCTCCCATGGATCTGCCTTATTTCAGGCCCAGCTCTGGTGCCTTTCCCTGATTCCCTTTTGTTGTTACTCCGCTCTCCCTCTCCAAAATACCTTGTTTTATTACTCTCTGTGGACCCACTGCATCTCACCACCCCCTCCCCCACTCCCACTTAGACTCTTAGAAGATCTTATGTCTTTGACTTTGTATCCCCAGCCCTAGCACCATGTCTTGTACCTCATGAACCCTTAATGAATGTTTGTTGAATTGAACCTTTGTCTTGCAGGTGGGTTTTCCCCTTTATTGGCCACATGGGAATCTGTACTTCCACGGGTGTCATTCGGGACTTCGCAGGCCCCTACTATGTCTCGGTGAGTCCCCAGACCTTGATCTCTGAAGTACACAGAGATCCACTTCTAAATCAGCTATCTCTGTGGTTGGCTGTCTTTTCATCCACCCCAGACTTCTGGTCACAAAGATGGAGCAAAGCCTGCAATTAGCAGGTGGTGTATTTATTTCTTTCCCCTCCATTGTTCTGATACTAGCACCAGCACCTCTTGTCCCAAGGGCATTGTCCAGGAGAGTCAGAGTGGCCAGTACCACTTCAGCAGCTGTCGTCCTCATCTGTGGACCAGCACTTTCCCTGAACAGTCATCTCCGTCACCTTTAGGCCTCCCTTCACAGCAGGGAATGCAAACATGAAAAAATAGCCAGTTACAAGGCACTTGATGCTAATGAAGGGTATGGAAAATAAGTTGTTGAGAGAAGTGTTAAGTGTGTCCTGACCACATGGTGATCTCTCCCTTCCCTTTCCTTCCCTTCCCAACTGACAGAATTAGAATTCCAGGTAATCACTCTTCCATGTCTCACTTTTCCTAACTCCGAACAGTAGAGGTGATGAGATCATAGAGGTGGGGTGTTGGGGGAAACCTATAGAATCATCCCTTAGATGCAGGTCTGAGCAGAAGGCTAGCATATGGCCGTCCAGAACAGGGGTCTCAAGACTCCTGAGAATGATAGTCTTCTTCCATCTCACTGGAAGGAGGCACACTTACCAGCGTAGGTCTAATTCATTTAGAAGATCATGTGGCATCATGTCATTGGTCAAACTGCGTTGACCATTGGTCCTAGCAGCCAGTCAGCTTCAGTAGGGCGGTGGTGAGGGAAGGGGCATGGGAGTAACCTTTGAAAGAGCCTTGTTCTCCCCTCTCCCACCAGCTCCTCCATCAGCCAAGGAATGGCTCATCATTGGAGTGGTGGTGCCTATGGGCACATGTGGTGCCCAGGACCCCTCCCAGGACATCTTCATATCCATAGTAACTGGTCATTTTGATCTCAGGCCAGATCACTAAGATACCTTTTTTTTCTCTTGGGGACACTAGATACTGGTCTCCCTGCCTTCCTACTTTACCACTCTTAAAAATGCTTTCAGCCAGGATTCTTTTTTTTAACTTGGTCTGCTAGAGATCTAGAATTCAGTCCTGGCCAGAATGACAGGATCCCCTGATTAGACCTAGAAGAGATCTCAGATTTCTCTAGCACAACTTCCTGCTCCTTGCAAGAAACTTCCTCAGCAGGCCATCCAGCAGGTGCCCACATGCCTCTGCCCAGACACTGCCAGGAGGCTCTCCCTTGCAAGGCAGACCATTCTACCATCAGAAAGGTTTTCTCTTTTTTGAGCTAGAATATGTCTCCTAGTAACTCCCACCTTTGAATTGTGAAAGAATTTTTTCTACCAACAAAGACAAGGAAAGGAGGAAAAACAGCTTTCAGTAGGGCTTCCCTGAGGGTCCCAGAAAAGCTGCCCTTGGGTCTTCTGCCATGGATTATTACAAAGGAGTTCCCCTCCCAGTTCTCTCTCGGGCCCTTGTAGGCATTCTTAGTTCCAGCCACCTCATCTACCCCAGGACCCCAACCCCATTTTCTTTTCCACTTTAGGGGAAGGGAGTAGTGATCAGCCTTCCCCTCCTCCCCGCAGCTCTGTGCTCCGTGATGGGAGGTCTCAGCCGACCCTTTATGGTCCTTTTCTGTAGTTGGACCCAGGTGACAGTGTTAGGTGCCTTAGGGAGGGGGCTGAACTCTGATTAATTCACTGTGCACATGCCGCTCTTGCCCTTTGGGGCGTCTTCCCTTCGCCTTAGGCCCTGACCGTCCACTGTGGCACCAGGCCTGGGGTGATTTCCTTCCTGATGGCCCAGCCGGTCCCCTCTTGGCCTAACATGACATTTGAACATAGGATTTTCTCTTCTTTCCCCACAGGAAGACAATATGGCCTTTGGGAAACCTGTGAAGTAAGTTATTAAGAACTTAGCTTGGAGGGTGGGTGAACCCCATATGCCCCTG